AACAGAGTGCCTCCCCACAATGCCCGATGAGCCACAGCTTCCGCGCAACTTCCCCCGGCGAGCCGCAGCGCCACCGCTGTACTTCACCGTCCCCCTGAGCCGATCTCGCTCCTATACGTGTGTGCCCCACGAGCCAATCGCGCTTCCACACGTGTGTGCCCGTGCACGGGACCGAGACACGCAAACACAGTGGCCACTGAGAACATAACCGCTATCAGCGTGTCAAACGCCCCATTTCAGTTATTTCATCTCAGTCATTCTTAACTAGACAGTTTGAGTTCATTTAAAAAAAAAGTTCTTGTGACTTTTGCCAGCGGAAGGAAGGATGGGACGCATCATTTGCCAGTTGACATTAACCCACAAGGGTTTGGCGGATTCCAGAACATTCCGGGAGAGCGAGCAACCACCCAAGTCTGGAAACGAGAGTAAACGCAGGCCATATTGCGTGTCTGTGTGCGAGCTTGCTCGCGTGTGGCGGCAGGGTCGGCGGTATGGAACAGTGTATGTGTGGGGTTGGGTTGGGGGTGTATTCTGGGGGACCTTAACAATGCAACCATTTGTATCACTTCAATGATCCCTGGCGGCGGTGCTTTCGCCCCGCAGGCCGATACAGGTGCTCGTCTGAATAGGGCAGAAGGCGGCGTTGTTTCCGCTCTGCGGGCGCGACGCTCCCAATGCGCCCCACATTAAAAGCACATCACACGCGTGGAGATTTCCATTCACAGCCATTCCCCTGGATCGCCCCCATTCTCCACAGCATGATCAAAGGCTACGGGCCCTAATAGATTCCTTACCCGGTGTTGCCCTATAATTTTTTTACTAGTTTACATAACGCAGAAGGTGATAGGACAATCAGATTCCACCAATGGCAAACGGCCTCCTGAAGTTCTCATTTTGAACGCTTGTGTTTCCCCCAAACCATCAAAAGCATTCCGGAATCTCGTTAAATGATTCATAATCACACATGGACTCGCGTCTAAAACCGCCGTCTGAGCCACCCCCCCCCCAAACATAACAGCTGGCTTAAAAATGTGTGATCAAGCTTTCCTTCATGGAGAAACACTGGAAGGTTTTAACAGGGAGGAACAAAGCGTTAGATCGTGGTTGTTATAGTCGATTGGGTCTCACCCGCTTTTCTGGGAAGGTGGAAAGGGCACGATAACAAAGGACTTGGAGTCTTACCGGCAGACGTGTGACGTCTTGTTTTAAAAATTGCACTTTTTAGATCTTCACTGTATGTTGCACAACCTTTGAATTAAAATATGACAGGAAGATGTTTAAGCAGCCATAAATGCTTCACTGTATTATGTAAATATTATATGTGTGACATAATAATAAATGAGTTTGCTAAACTCGACAGATTACTATAATTTAGTAAATATTACTCCTGTAATGGAGCTCTCTTCCTAAAGCAGGAGACACAGAATTACCCCACTGTTTTGGTGAAGGACTGTTATTATTATGGGATATAGATGGTTAATTGTCCGAGGGAAAAAAAAAGAATTTGACTGGAATTATTATTATATTTTTTTAAGTAAGAGCGACATTCCTGTTAATTTAAGTCATTCTGCACCAGTGTGGTCCAGACATATCTAAGATTTTCTTGGACATAGAATCAACAGCAATGGTCATAAAGTTAAAATACTTGATTTCGGGCCATGCCTTTCGCTTTACTTTAATTTTATTTATGTGGCAGATGGCCAATATTTAGAAGGTTACACATCTCGAGGAAAAAAGTCACGTTTGTCTGTGGCTTTTACAGTACAAACTACCCTGTAAAAATCTGGCAATAAAAGGACACAGCTTTCTCTCTCTGACACTCTTTGAGGCGTGTAACGACCTCCTAAATCAGTAGTCAAACACAATGGACCTATTGCCCAGTGGTATTTTCAATAACGAGCAGGACCCAGACATGAAAATACACTATTTTGGTGGTAGATGATAAATGATTAAAACAAAATGGTTAGGTGGGGGATGTCCTCTGTATGGTTCTGGTCACCCCCCACACCCACCCCCCATCACCCAAACCCAGAGAGCTCTCCGGAATGTGGTCGTGTGGTTCCCAGAGGGACAGCAGTCCCCAACATGCCCTCCAGAGATATAGGCAGGGGGCACGGCAGTGCAGATGGACCTGTGGGGGGGGGGGTCCGGCTCACTTTATGCACCAATTTGCCTCACAAGCAGAGTGTCATGCTCATGATGACTCTATGGATTTTGTTGAAACCTATGCCCCCCCCCCCCCCCCGTGCTACTGTTGAAAGGTGACAAAACAGCAGCCGGGGGAGGGACACTCAGTATTTCCTTGTTATGCCTCAGGGGTGTCTGGGGCAGATCTTATTACTTTGGGTGAAGGTGGGGGGCTGTGTCAAGGTCCAGTGCCACAGACTGGTGAACGAATCCCCCCGTGGCTCTGCTCACAGGCTTGAGGAGATCACTCCCCCCACTTGGAGCAGGCGGACGCTGAGACATCCATCGCTCTGAAAGAGAGAGAGAGAGAGAGAGAGAGAG